TTCGGCCACAACACAAGCGGCCTTCATCAGGTGAAGGGACGAGACTGTCTGGTAGGACAGCGCTGGAGTGAAAAAAGCCACGTTCAGATCACGACCTTTAAACTGTATCAGAAGAAACAAAGCGCCTTGACAAAGGAATTAGCATATAATTCAGCATTGAATTGGCCGAATGATTAGCTTGTGACTGGTCACAGAAATGGCTATGTTAAAGTTAAAGCATACACATCCGCAGAGGCACCCCTTGACAAAGGAATTTAGCATTGAAATAGCTAAGTTAAAGCATACACATCCGCAGAGGCACCCCTTGACAAAGGAATTAGCATAGAATTTAGAATTGAAATAGCTGAGTGATTAGCTTGTAACTGGTCACAGAAATAGCTATGTTAAAGTCAGAGCATACACATTCACCGAGGCACCTAGTACAAATCAAACAGGAGAATTTAGCATTGAAATAACTAGGCGAATTTAGCATTGAAATAACTGAGTGATTAGCTAGTGACTGGTCACAGAAATGGCTATGTTGAAGTCAAGGTCTACACATCTGAGCTATTCACAGTAACTGGGTATACAATACAATGTATAATGAATACTACATAGTGAACCAATAAAAAACTAAAATATAAATTACCTTAATGTTATCAATAAACTCTATATTCTCCAATCAGCTAAGCTACCAACAATAAGTCGTTATATATCAATCACAATGCTATATGGCGAAAAAATGGGTGGATTCTTACCCTCAACTTTAGCAACACGGATAGCTACGGGCCCCGTTCAGACGGACGAGTTCATCCAAGGTCGGAACAGAGGAGGGGGGAGAGAGACAGCTGCGAGGCGCTATTATACTCCATGTTGTAAACCATACCATTAACCGTGGTGTGAGAGGTATTAAGAGTCAATGCTGGTGAAAGAGCTGCGGTCTGAAGGTCATCGTAAAATACAATTAATTAAGAACGGAAATGGTTTAAAACATCTTTCCAATGGTTACTAAGCCAGAATCCATCTTCTCGGTTGAAATTGTCTCTGTGCTTGTATATGTGAATGGCCTCATGAACGAATCTCTCATGGTAGCCGGTTGGTTTGCAAAGAACCTCCGTCTTGGAGAAGTCAATGTCATGTGAGCCCACTGAATTATAATTATAACAGTGATCTGCCACATGTCGATACCAGGTGAGTATAATTTAGTACCGCAGAGGTGGTTTTTCCAGTGAAAGGTCGCAGTATATCAGCAAGAAAACGTGCCAGTTTATTGGTGGGGGAGTTGATAGTAGAGACGATGGGACGAAGGGGTGTATCTGCTTTGTGTATCTTTGGAAGGCCATATAATCTTGGTGGTCTGGCAGCAGAGGGTTTCAACGAGAACTGTTCGATCTCATCAATTAATGCTGTTGAATCAGAGATGATTTTGTTCGTTTTGGTGACCAGGCTGTTGGTGGGATCTCTTTTTATTTTTGTATAGCTGCCATCGTTGAGTAGTTCTTGAATTTTGTTGTTATATTCTGTTTTGTCCATGATGACAGTGGCATTGCCTTTGTCGGCTGAGAGGACGACAATATCATCCCTCTTTTTTAATTGCAATAATTCAAAACGTTCGTCTTTGCTGATGTTGCTGGGTGGCAACTTAGCGTTTTTTAGGGTTGCAGCGATTTCAGATCTTGCTATGTCTGCAGAGATGTGACTCAAGCCCTTGAGTGCAACGTCGACATGGGCAATGATATCATTAACCGGTAAGTGTCTCGGTGTGACAGCAAAGTTTAGACCTTTAGCTAAAACGGATTTCAGACCATCAGAAATGGAACTGAATTGATAAAATAACACAATCAAATTCTCACGACGTTTCGGCCACAACACAAGCGGCCTTCTTCAGGTGAAAGGAACAGACCTGTCGGGACGACAGAGCTTCAATGATGATTGCTTGTGAAGCTCTGTCGTCCCGACAGGTATGTTCCTTTCACCTGAAGAAGGCCGCTTGTGTTGTGGCTGGAACGTCGTGAGATATTTTATTGTGTTATTTTATTATTTTATTAATTTATTATTTTATTCTCATTCTACGTGGGTGGCGGCGACTTTACCGAAAGAACCGAAGAAGATGCTTCGCCCGAGACTTGGACTAACACACGGCCAACGCGGAGGGTGGGGGCGTGACGTCATACAGGCACGCTGCGTGACGTTGCCGCATGCGGGTGACATCACAGATGTGACATCACGGATGTGACGTCACCGCTCACGTGGCGTGCAATGCATATGCGTTATTGGGCCCCTCCTCCACCCCCACAAAAAAAATAAAAAATAAAGTTTATTTTTATACTTTTTTTTGCATTGTGTACGGTCTGGAAAAGAGGCTACCCACGTGCCAAATTTCAAGTTTTATTATTTGCATGTCGGGAATTATGGGGCCGTCCATGAATGACGTCACGCGATTTTGGACGATTTTTGACCCCCACTCCCCATCGTTACGTGACGTCACAAAAAGTCAGACACACACCCCCCTCAAATATGACGTCACAAAGCTCTGCTCCCCCTCCCCAAAAAAATAATAATAAAACACGCTTCAAATCGCTTTAAACTTTTGTCATTGTAGTTGCGTATTTAGTGTGGCGCCGCACTCTGATGTTGCAGGTAGAAAACATTTATTTTAAAAAGTCTATTTAATTCAGTAGAACGTGTTGTCCGTATTTATTTATTTATAAAGTTGCGTTATTTTGATGTGACGTCACATTTGTCAAACTCCCCCCCAGGTGCGTGACGTCATTTTATTTATTTATTTCTGAGACATACACAGAGGAAGGTTTTTTTTATTTATATCGATAAGATAATCATTTTTTTTGGATGCCGGAACCTAAAAACATCTGTTCCGGAACTTAAAATGACCGCCCGTGAGGAGATTGTTTCCCCGCGCGAGCCCGGACACATTACCGCCGCGGCACCCGTCCGGTTGCGCGTCGGGAAATTGTCTCCGGTTTAATTTTAAACTTTAGAAAACCAAAAAATATAAATATTCTTCATTTTTTTGCTTCGCTTTAAAATATATACTTTTATGTCACAATTCTTCTTTATTTTCCGGCAAATATTTGTGCGATAGTATTTATTTATTTATTCCGCTGAGTGTGCGTGATGGCATCAAAATTTCGCCTCCCTGCCATAGTAACGTGGAGTTGCCAGTGTTTGGATGTACGTGGTACACCCTCCCCCCTGTCATAGTAACGTGGAGTTGTCAGTGTTTGGATGTACTTGGTACACCCCTCCCTGTCATAGTAACGTGGAGTTGTCAGTATGTACGTGGTACACCCCCTGTCATAGTAACGTGGAGTTGCCAGTGTTTGTTGATGTACTTGGTACACCCCTCCCTGTCATAGTAACGTGGAGTTGCCAGTGTTTGTGGATGTACTTGGTACACCCCCTGTCATAGTAACGTGGAGTTGCCAGTGTTTGTGGATGTACTTGGTACACCCCCTGCCATAGTAACGTGGAGTTGACAGTGTTTGTGGATGTACTTGGTACACCCCCTGTCATAGTAACGTGGAGTTGCCAGTGTTTGTGGATGTACTTGGTATACCCCTCCCTGTCATAGTAACGTGGAGTTGCCAGTGTTTGTGGATGTACTTGGTACACCTGTCATAGTAACGTGGAGTTGCCAGTGTTTGTGGATGTACTTGGTATACCCCTCCCTGTCATAGTAACGTGGAGTTGCCAGTGTTTGTGGATGTACTTGCTACACCCCCTGTCATAGTAACGTGGAGTTGCCAGTGTTTGTGGATGTACTTGGTATACCCCTCCCTGTCATAGTAACGTGGAGTTGCCAGTGTTTGTGGATGTACTTGGTACACCTCCTGTCATAGTAACGTGGAGCTGCCAGTGTTTGTGGATGTACTTGGTACACCCCCTGTCATAGTAACGTGGAGTTGCCAGTATTTGGATGTACTTGGTACACCCCCTGTCATAGTAACGTGGAGTTGCCAGTGTTTGTGGATGTACTTGGTACACCCCCTGTCATAGTAACGTGGAGTTGCCAGTGTTTGTGGATGTACGTGGCTCCCCCCTGTCATAGTAACGTGGAGTTTGCCAGTGTCTGTGGATGTACTCGGCTCCCTTCTGCCATAGTAACGTGGAGTTGTTTTTTTCAGACAAGCGACCTGGGCCATCACAGCGCAGCTCAAACAAGTGGCTGACGTCATCATCACGTGGACAATTACAGCAGCAGTCAAATCCATAGAGACCCATAGAGATATACATAGAGACCCATAGAGATATACATAGAGACCCATAGAGATATACATAGAGACCCATAGAGATGTACATAGAGACCCATAGAGATATACATAGAGACCCATAGAGATATACATAGAGACCCATAGAGATATACATAGAGACCCATAGAGATACATAGTGACCCATAGAGACCCATAGAGATATACATAGAGACACTTAGAGATAAAGACCCATATATAGAGACCCATAGAGATACATAGATACACATAGAGACCCATAGAGATACATTGAGACCCATAGAGATACATAGAGACCCATAGATACACAGATTTATAGAGATGCATAGAGACCCATAGACATGCATAGAGACCTATAGAGATACATTGAGACCCATAGAGATACATTAAGACCCATAGAGATACATAGAGACCCACAGAGACCCATAGAGATACATAGATACACATAGAGACAGATTTATATAGATACATAGAGACCCATAGAGATACATAGAGACCCATAGAGATACATAGAGATACATAGAGACCCATAGAGATACATAGAGACCCATAGAGATACATAGAGACCTATGGAGATACATAGAGACCCATATAGATACATAGAGATACATAGAGACCCATAGAGATACACATAGAGACACAGAGATACATAGAGATACATAGAGACCCATAGAGACACATAGAGACCCACCGAGACACACAAGTTACCCATACTCATAGGAGACCCACAAAGACCCAGAGAGAGACGCAGGCTCCAAATCCACAGCAGCAGCGGCAGCAGGCGTGATCAGGGTCGAGGATCAAACCCACGACCTGCTGCGTACCAGGCGAGGGAGTTAACATCTCCCACGCCACCCTGCTGCCACGAGGTGGGGGTGTGACTGCTCCGTTTCGGGCTGAGCGGACCTTGAGGCGCGCAGCACCGCCATGCCCGTGTGCCTGTGTGTTCTCAGCGGGCTGCCCGCTAGCGGCAAAAGCAGCCTGGCACGGGCACTGAGAGACCAGCTCCTGGGGCGGAGTCAGTCTGATACTCGGTCTGGTACTCGGTCTGATACTCGGTCTGATACTCAGTCTGATACTCGGACTGATACTCGGTCTGATACTCGGTCTGATTCTCGGTCTGATACTCGGTCTGATACTCAGTTTGATTCTCAGACTGATACTCGGTCTGATACTCGGTCTGATACTCGGACTGATACTCGGTCTGATACTCGGTCTGATACTCAGTTTGATACTCGGTCTGATACTCGGTCTGATTCTCGGTCTGATTCTCGGTCTGATACTCGGTCTGATACTCGGTCTGATACTCGGTCTGATTCTCGGTCTGGTAGTCGGTCTGATACTCGGTCTGATACTCGGTCTGATACTCGGTCTGATACTCGGTCTGATTCTCAGACTGATACTCGGTCTGATACTCGGTCTGATTCTCGGTCTGATACTCAGTCTGATTCTCAGACTGATACTCGGTCTGATACTCGGTCTGATACTCGGTCTGATACTCGGTCTGATACTCGGACTGATACTCGGTCTGATTCTCAGTCTGATTCTCGGTCTGATACTCAGTTTGATTCTCAGACTGATACTCGGTCTGATTCTCGGTCTGATTCTCAGTCTGATACTCAGTTTGATTCTCAGTCTGATACTCGGTCTGATTCTCGGTCTGATTCTCGGTCTGATTCTCAGTCTGATTCTCAGTCTGATACTCGGTCGCAGTCCCGTACTGAGTACGATTCCCCAACTCAGCTCCCAGGTCAGACGGAGACTCGGGCTCAGGCCCAGACTCGGTCTGACGCTCCCTCTCAGACCCGGTCCCTGATTCAGCCTCCGCCTGGGACTCAATCTGAGGCCCCATCGCCGGCTCGGACCCCGTTCCTGTATCGGCCCGAGGCTCGATGTCGGTCCCCAGTGCAGTCGGAGACTCGGGCTGAGTCGCAGCCCCGGCGGGAGGCCGGGCCTCGCGCGCTGCGGGTGCTCCTCCTGGAGTACGATGCCCTGATGCCGCTCGGAATCTTTGGGGCCGAGCGGACTCCGAGGGACCCCTCGGAGCCTCCGGATCCCGGGGGGCCGGACCCTTGGGAGGCGTCAGCCGCCGGTCGCCGGGACGTTGAGCCGAGGGGCCGGGAGATTGGGAAGGGAGGCCGGGAGATTGTCAGTAGGAGGGGTGACGTTGAGAAGGGAGGCCGGGAGATTGACAGCAGGAAGGAGGACGTTGAGGCTAGAAGCCAGGAGATTGTCAGTAGGAGGGGTGACGTTGAGAAGAGAGGCCAGGAGATTGAGAAGGGAGGCCGGGAGATTGTCAGTAGGAAGGGGGACGTTGAGGCTAGAAGCCAGGCGATTGAGAATGGAGGCCGGGAGATTGTCAGTAGGAAGGAGGACGTTGAGGCTAGAAGCCAGGAGATTGAGAATGGAGGCCGGGAGATTGTCAGTAGGAAGGGGGACGTTGAGGCTAGAAGCCAGGAGATTGAGAATGGAGGCCGGGAGATTGTCAGTAGGAAGGGGGAGGTTGAGGTCAGAAGCCAGGAGATTGACAGTAGGAAGGGGGACGTTGAATGGAGAAGCCAGGAGATTGAGAAGAGAAACCAGGAGATTGTCAGTAGGAAGGGGGACGTTGAGGCTAGAAGCCAGGAGATTGACAGCAGGAAGGGCGACGTTGAGGCTAGAAGCCAGGAGATTGAGAAGGGAGGCCGGGAGATTGTCAGTAGGAAGGGGGACGTTGAGAAGGGAGGCCAGGAGATTGAGAAGAGAAGCCAGGAGATTGACAGCAGGAAGGGGGACGTTGAGGCTAGAAGCCAGGAGATTGACATTAGGAAGGGCGACGTTGAATGGAGAAGCCAGGAGATTGAGAAGAGAAGCCGGGAGATTGTCAGTAGGAGGGGGGACGTTGAGAAGGGAGGCCAGGAGATTGAGAAGAGAAGCCAGGAGATTGACAGCAGGAAGGGCGACGTTGAGGCTAGAAGCCAGGAGATTGAGAAGGGAGGCCGGGAGATTGTCAGTAGGAAGGGGGACGTTGAGGTCAGAAGCCAGGAGATTGAGAATGGAGGCCAGGAGATTGACAGTAGGAAGGGTGACGTTGAGAACAGGAGCCAGGAGATTGTCAGTAGGAAGGGCGACGTTGAGAACAGGAGCCAGGAGATTGAGAATGGAGGCCAGGAGACTGACAACAGAGCTCAGTACCCCGGCAATATCACGGAGGAGGTCAAGGACGGCCGCGCGGACACCGTGAGCGGACACGGGGAGATGGACGGGGGCGTTGAGCGGAGGCCCCAGGACGTGGTGAACGTCCCAGGTGGCTTCCAGAGTGACCGCGGGGACGCCGAAGGGACGGGAGTCCGGGACTTCGACCGGAGCGGCGGCGACGTGAGGGGCTCGGAGGACGGAGAGCGGCGCTGGAAGACTCTCAGGCGGACGGTGCTGGCGTGCCTGCGGCTGTGGCTGGCGCGGCCCCACGTGAGTCGGGTTCGTGACGTGGTTTGGAGTCTGCGCGTCTCTCTCTCTCTCTCTCTCGCCACCATCATCATCACCATCATCATCGCGGTGGCTAGGAGATGTTGACTCGCTCGCCCGGTACGCAGGAGGTCACGGGTTCGATCCCCGACCCTGACCATGCCTGCTGCTGCTGCTGCTGTAGATTTGGAGTCTACGTCTCTGTCTCTCATCATCATCATCATCGCGGTGGCTAGGAGATGTTGACTCGCTCGCCCGGTACGCAGGAGGTCACGGGTTCAATCCGACCATGACCATGCCTGCTGCTGCTGCTTTAGATTTGGAGTCTGCGTCTCTCATCACCACCACCACAGTGGCTAGATGTTAACTACCTCGGCGGGTATGCAGGAGGTCGTGGGTTCGATCCCGACCATGACCATGCCTGCTGCTACTGCTGTAGATTTGGAGTCTACGTCTCTGTCTCTCATCATCATCATCACGGTGGCTAGGAGATGTTGACTCGCTCGCCCGGTACGCAGGAGGTCGTGGGTTCGATCCCCGACCCTGACCATGCCTGCTGCTGCTGTATATTTGGAGTTTGCCGTCTCTCACCATCATCATCATCACCACAGTGGCTAGATGTTAACTAACTCGCCTGGTCGTGGGTTCAATCGCCAACCCTGACCATGCCTGCTGCTGCTGCTGCTGTTTATTTGGAGTCTGCGTCTCTCTCTCTCTCTCTCCCCGTGGTTGCGTGGATTTTTCCCTGGGTCCTCGGATTTCTCCACCTTCACGATTAGAACCAAGATCGCGCGGATTTAAAGTGCGTCGCTGCTGCTGCTACAAATGCCCACGTGATGATGATGATGATATCAGCCACTTCGTTGAGCTGATGGCCAATTAGCTTCTGAAAAAAATAGCTAACTAGCTCAGTGAGGCCTTACCGAGTAAAACTATAATAAAAAAAATCATTTTTAATAATGGTTGGGTGGGTGTCAGGTTCACGATGGCCATGCCAGAGGCACTGTGAAGCCAGCAGTTCTAAAGCCCTGGGTTCGATCCCCCTCTGGGTGTTTGTGTCTCTCAGCTGTAACAGTGTTTTATTTTATTTGACCAGGAATGTGTGAGTGTGTGAGTGAGTGTGAGTGGGTGTGTGTGTGTATATCTGTGTGAGTGTGTGTATGTTGTGGGGAGCGGTGGTGTAGCGGTTAGCGCTACGCTGCGCTATGAACCTGGCGACCCGGGTTCGATTCCTGCTCACGGCCAACACCACCAGTGACGATTATCTGAACCGGTCCCGGGCCTCCCCTAGGTCGACTCAGCCTCAAATGAGTACCTGGTGCGGTGTGTAGTAAACATCGCCACTAGGGAGACAAAGGCGGTCGGGCGTGGTGCTGGCCACCCACCCCCTCGTGTACCGTTACCGGCCTTCATAGGTTCTGCTCGCTAACAGCACTTGCCCCCTACAGTCTGTTAAGGCTATACGGGGGATCTTTGTATGTATGTATGTATGTTGAACTTCTTTCTGCACCAATACATGGCCAACCTTGCTAATCTTGAGGTGCCGTAAGGCCCCACTTGAGCCATGCAGCTCGCCTTCAGAGGAGACCTGGGCATCGAGAATGAGAGCCCAACGAAGTGTGAAATGCCAAGTGGCAAATGCCAAGGCGTGAAATTGAGTCTAAATGTTCAGGACCCGCAGAAGATTCTGCGTAGTCGCATCGCCAGTGGGCGGGCAAAGGAGAGCAGACTGCCGGGTGTGGTGCTGGTCACCCACCCCCTCGTGTTGCGTGTTTGGGGCTTCATAGGCGCTGCTACTCGCTACTAACAGCACTTGAACCAAACAGGCTGTTGCAAGCTACACGGGGGATCTTTGTCTTTATAGCGAGTGGGTGGGCGAGTGGGTGGGTGTATGGGTGAGTGGGTGAGTGGGTGGGTGAGTGAGTGAGTGTGGGGTGAGTGAGTGGGTGGGTGGGTGAGTGAGTGGGTGGGTGAGTGGGCGAGTGAGTGAGTGTATGGGTGAGTGAGTGGGTGGGTGAGTGGGTGAGTGAGTGAGTGGGTGAGTGAGTGGGTGAGTGAGTGAGTGGGTGAGTGAGTGAGTGGGTGAGTGGCTGAGTGAGTGAGTGGGTGAGTGAGTTAGTGAGTCGCTGAGTGAGTGAGTTGGTGACTGTGTGAGTGGTTGAGTGGGTGAGTGGGTGAATGGGTGAGTGAGTGAGTGGCTGAGTGAGTGAGTGAGTTGGTGAGTGTGTGAGTGAGTGAGTGGGTGAGTGAGTGAGTGGGTGAGTGGGTGAGTGAGTTAGTGGGTGAGTGAGTGGGTGAATGGGTGAGTGAGTGGGTGGGTGAGTGTGTGGGTGAGTGAGTGTGTGAGTGAGTGGGTGAGTGGCTGAGTGAGTGTGTGAGTGAGTTCGTGAGTGACTGAGTGAGTGAGGTGCTACTCGCTACTAACAGCACTTGCCCCAACAGTCTGTTAACGCTTCACGGTGGTGGGTGGGTGGTGGTGGTGACCCTTTTTTCTCTGTCTCAGAGCCTGTCCATGCCCCCTAAGTGGCGTGGTGGTGACGAGGAGTTGGTGTGGGAGGCGTTCCTTCACCAGCTGCAAGCACAGGGGTTCGGAATACCTGGCACGGAGTCTGGGATTCCGGAGTTTGAAACCCCAGGAACGGAGTGTGCAACACCGCGAGTGGTGTCTGAAACACGAGGAATGGACTGCGCTCAGACTCCCGGAATGGATTCCACTCAGACTCCCGGAATGGATTCCCAGACTCCCGGAATGGACTCCACCCAGACTCCCGGAATGGATTCCCAGACTCCTGGAATGGACTCCAATCAGACTCCCGGAATGGACTCCACCCAGACTCCCGGAATGGACTCCTCACAGACTCCCGGAATGGACTCCACTCAGACTCCCGGAATGGACTCCTCACAGACTCCCGGAATGGACTCGTCCCAGACTCCCGGAATGGACTCCACTCAGACTCCCGGAATGGACTCCTCACAGACTCCCGGAATGGATTCCCAGACTCCCGGAATTGACTCCACTCAGACTCCCAGAATGGACTCGTCCCAGACTCCCGGAATGGACTCCACTCAGACTCCCGGAATGGACTCCACTCAGACTCCCGGAATGGACTCCTCACAGACTCCCGGAATGGATTCCCAGACTCCCGGAATGGACTCCACTCAGACTCCCGGAATGGACTCGTCCCAGACTCCCGGAATGGACTCCACTCAGACTCCCGGAATGGACTCCACTCAGACCCCCGGAATGGACTCCTCACAGACTCCCGGAATGGACTCCTCCCAGACACCCGGAATGGACTCCACCCAGACTCCTGGAATGGACTCCCCCCAGACCCCCGGAATGGACTCCTCACAGACACCCGGAGTAGACTGCACTCAGACTCCCGGAATGGATTCCCAGACTCCCGGAATGGACTCCACCCAGACTCCCGGAATGGATTCCCAGACTCCCGGAATGGACTCCTCACAGACACCCGGAGTGGACTGCACTCAGACTCCCGGAATGGATTCCCAGACTCCCGGAATGGACTCCACCCAGACCCCCAAAACGGACTCCCCCCAGACCCCCGGAATGGACTCCCCCCAGACTCCCGGAATGGATTCCCAGACTCCCGGAATGGATTCCCAGACTCCCGGAATGGACTCCTCACAGACTCCTGGAATGGACTCCACTCAGACTCCCGGAATGGACTCCACCCAGACACCCGGAGTGGACTCCACTCAGACTCCCGGAATGGACTCCTCACAGACCCCCGGAATGGACTCCCCCCAGACACCCGGCACGGACTCTGTGACGTCGGCGAATGGGAGCAGAGCGGCCGAGGTGGAGTCTGAGGCGCTCGGACCGGAGTCTCGCCCGTTGGCAACGCTTGGAGACGAGACCGGAGCGGATTCGCCCCACGCCGGATCGGAGCCGTGCCCTGGGGGTTCAGGAGCGTCCCCGGTGGGGGTGAAACCACCCGGAGCGGCGGGGAAATCCGTTCCGGGTTTCCCTGTGGCGGGGGCAGCAGCCGGAGGCGAGGGCGGCGGTGGCTGCTGCCACGCGGCCCCCGACATTGTGATCCTGCTCGATGACAACTTCTACTACCGGAGCATGCGCTATGAGGTCCTGCAGCTGGCGAGGGCTGGTGAGTGTGTTGGTGAGTGGATGTGTGGGTGGGTGGGTGGGTGAGTGTGTGGGTGGGTGGGTGAGTGGGTGGGTGAGTGGGTGGGTGAGTGCATGTGTGTGTGAGTGGGTGAGTGTGTGGGTGAGTGAGTGTGTGGGTGGGTGTGTGGGTGGGTGTGTGAGTGAGTGAGTGTGTGGGTGCGTGGGTGAGTGAGTGTGTGGGTGGGTGTGTGGGTGGGTGTGTGAGTGAGTGAGTGTGTGGGTGTGTGGGCGAGTGTGTGGGTGGGTGGGTGAGTGTGTGGGCGAGTGTGTGGGTGGGTGAGTGTGTGGGTGTGTTGGTGGGTGTGTGAGTGAGTGAGTGTGTGGGTGTGTAGGTGAGTGAGTGTGTGGGTGAATGTGTGGGTGAGTGGGCGAGTGTGTGGGTGAGTGTGTGGGTGAGTGTGTGGGTGAGTGAGTGGGTGAATGTGTGGGTGAGTGGGCGAGTGTGTGGGTGAGTGTGTGAGTGGGTGTGTGGGTGAGTGAGTGGGTGAGTGTGTGGGTGTCTGGCAAAACAACCCCCTACCTCCTCGCGGTGCCGGACGGGCAACTCTGTCGTGGACAGTGCTGTGGGGGGAGATCCAATTTTGATTGGCTCCTCCCCTCATGGCATATGTGTCCACCACAGGGGCTAAACGGGGGCTCTGGACGGGTGCGAGGGGCTGGTAACCCCTTCACCTTCAATTAATTACCACGAAACCACGAGTTAAACTGAAATATGTAACTAATAAGCTTGTGCCGGAGGCCCCGGGGGGCCAGGCGTCTATGACGTCTCCTGGCCAAACCCCAATTGGCGGAGCCAGGAGATTGAATACCTACCCTCGGGGCTACTCCAGAAACAACGAAAAGCCACTACGGGTGGCCACGTGGAATGTTCGAACGCTCACTGCGGAAGAGAGGCTGCCACTCCTCTGTCAGGAGCTGGACCGGTACCACCTGGATCTCTGCGGCATTCAGGAGGTCCGGTGGACCGGCTCTGGCTCCTGCCACCATGAGGGGTGGATAGTCCTCTACTCGGGGCAGCAGACTGCCAAACAACAGGGTGTGGGTCTTCTTTTGAACAAAAGAATGAAGGGGGCGTGGGAGCGTGGCGGTGAGGTGTGGGAAGCTGTAAGTCCCAGGCTACTTTGGGCTCGCCTTCCCATCAACCGGAGGCGAGGAATGGTGGTCGTGGTTACTTATGCCCCCACCGAAGATGAACATCCGTGGAGGGATGCAGGCAAAGCCGATGAGTCAGATGCCTTCTATGACCTCCTGTCACAGGTGCTGGCTAAAGTGGCCCCTCGGGATAGAGTCATCATGTTGGGTGACTTCAATGCTCGAGTTGGTCATGATACTGGCACCTGGTCTGGAGTGATTGGAGGGCATGGGCCAGATCAGCTCAATAACAACGGTAGGAGGCTGCTAGATTTTTGTGCAGCCCATGGGCTTGTAATTACCAACACGCTGTTCTGGCATCGGCGCATCCACATAACATCATGGATGCATGCCGGGTCCAAGCAAGAACATCTGCTGGACTACATAGTGACGGACCAGCGGATGCGAGCCCATGTCCTTGACACCAGGACCTACCGTGGAGCTGATCTGCCCTCTGACCATCGACTAGTCATCTGTAAGATGCGCCTGCCATTCTTCCACTCCGGTGGTGGGTGTACACCCAGGACCCCATTCCAACATAAAGTGGCCTGGTCTCAGCTGATGAAAGTTGCAAGCGAGAATTTCATCATCGCTTGCGGCTGGGATTGGCATCGTCCCCGACTCCTCCTGATGTCGAGGGTAAATGGGCGAGGTTTAGGACTGTGACTCATGCAGCTGCAATGGCTGCTTTAGGTACGCGGTCCAGACCTCCCCAGAGACCCTGGCTGACAGAGGAGGTGTTCAGGATGGTTGAGAAAAAGCGACAGGCCCACTGTCATCGGCTACAGAATCCCACGTCAGAGAATGAGGAGGCTTACCGCAGCCTTCGCTCGGAGGTTCGGAGAGCCGTGAGGCGCTGCAAGGATGGGTGGTGGTCGCGGGTTGCTGAGGAGATGGAATCTGCCTCAGTGGCCCGCGATCACAAATAACTTTTTAACTCCATCAAAAAAGTTACTTGCAGCACCACACCTATGACCATCATTAGGGGAAAGAACGGTGATCCGATCTCCGACCCCCAGGAACAGGTTTGCAGATTTTCTGAGCATTTCTGTGAGGTCCTGGGGGAGGGTAAATCCCTCAGCCTGGAAAACATCGACGAGGCAATGTGGGGATGACCCTGCTGAGACTGCGGTGCCTCAAATATTGAAAGAAGTCACCCCCTGTGAGTGACTGGCTGAGGTGCCATCCGTTGAGGAAGTACTGAAGGCGATCCGGAGTCTGAGACCAGGAAAGGCACCAGGCAGAGATGATCTCCCATAGCGAAATGCTGAGGGAGGGTGGCGTCTGTGCGCAGACTGCCCTACACGACATCATAACAACAATCTGGACCACAGGACGGATTTCCGCAGTATTGGAAGTATGCCCTGGTGGTCCCCCTCTTTAAGAAGGGGGACCGCACAGACTGTAACAACTACAAGGGGCATCTCACTCCTGAGTGTGTCGGGAAAGGTCCTGGCAAGGATTATTCAGCATCGCCTTGCCAGGCACGCTGAGGAGAGGCTTGCGGAGCCCCAATGCGGTTTCAGGAAAGGGCGGTCCTTAAAGGGCACATAGCCTGGCTCACCCATCCTCCCACCCACACACCCACACACCCACACACCTGCTCATTCATCCACTAACTCACCTACCCACTCACCCGTCCACCCACCCACCAACTCACCCACCCACCTGCTCACCCATCCACCAACTCACCCACCCACCTGCTCACCCACCAATTCACCCACCCACCTGCTCACCCACCAACTCACCCACCCACCTGCTCACCAGTCCAGCAACTCACTCAGCCACTCACCAACTCACCCACCCACCTGCTCACCCATCCACCAACTCACCCACCCACCTGCTCACCCGTCCACCAACCCACCAACTCACCCACCCACCTGCTCACACATCCAGCAACCCACTCAGCCACTCACCAACCCACTCACCCGCCAACTCACCCACCCACCTGCTCACCCGTCCAGCAACTCACTCAGCCACTCACCAACTCACCCACCCGCCTGCTCACCCATCCACCAACTCACCCACCCACCTGCTCACCCATCCACCAACCCACCCACCTGCTCACCCATCCACCAACCCACCCACCAACTCACCCACCCACCCGCTCACCCGTCCACCAACCCACCCACCAACTCACCCACCCACCTGCTCACCCGTCCAGCAACTCAATCAGCCACTCACCAACTCACCCACCCACCAACTCACTCACCTACCCACTCACCCGTCCACCAACCCACCCACCAACTCACCCACCCGCTCACCCGTCCACCAACTCACCCACCAACTCACCCACCCACCTGCTCGCCCATCCACCAACCCACCCACCAACTCACCCACCCACCTGCTCACCCGTCCACCAACTCACCTACCCACTCACCCGTGCACCAACCCACCCACCAACTCACCCACCCACCCACTCACCCGTCCACCAACCCACCCACCAACTCACCCACCCACCCGCTCACCCGTCCACCAACCCACCCACCAACTCACCCACCCACCTGCTCACCCGTCCAGCAACTCACTCAGCCACTCACCAACTCACCCACCCACCAACTCACTCACCTACCCACTCACCCGTCCGCCAACCCACCCACCAACTCACCCACCCACCCGCTCACCCACCCACCAACTCACCCACCAACTCACCCACCAACTCACCCACCCACCCGCTCACCCACCCACCAACTCACCCACCAACTCACCCACCAACTCACCCACCCACCCGCTCACCCACCCACCAACTCACCCACCAACTCACCCACCCACTCACCCACCCACCCGCTCACCCACCCACCAACTCACCCACCAACTCACCCACCAACTCACCCACCCACCCGCTCACCCACCCACCAACTCACCCACCAACTCACCCACCAACTCACCCACCCACCCGCTCACCCACCCACCAACTCACCCACCAACTCACCCACCCACTCACCCACCCACCCGCTCACCCACCCACCAACTCACCCACTAACTCACCCACCAACTCACCCACCCACCCGCTCACCCACCCACCAACTCACCCACCAACTCACCCACCAACTCACCCACCCACCCGCTCACCCGTCTGCCAACCCACTCACCCACCCACTCACCAACCAACTCACCCGCCCACTCACTTGCCAACTCACTCCCCCCCTCTCCCCCCCCCCCCCCTCCGCGCGTCAGCGTCTGCCGGCTTCTGCCATGTCCACGTTCCGTGCCCCCCGCCGCTGTGCCTGGAGAGGAACGGTCGGCGTCCCAACCCGGTGCCCAGCGGCGTCATCGCGGCCATGGCCTCCCGCATGGAGCCCCCCACCGCCACCGCCTCGCCACCCCCCCTCACCGGCGGGGGGGGAGGGGGGGAGAAGCGGGGGGCGACCCCCCACGGCTGGGAGGGACGGAGCCACGTGGTGCGGTCGCCGGGCAAGCGAGGGGAGGGGGAGATGTGAGCTGTGTGTGTGTGTGTCTGTGTGTGTGTATGTGTGTGTATGTGTGTGTGTGTCTCTGTGTGTGTGTGTATGTGTGTGTGTGTCTCTGTGTGTGTGTCTCTGTGTGTGTGTATGTGTGTGTCTCTGTGTGTGTCTCTGTGTGTGTCTCTGTGTGTGTATCTGTGTGTGTGTCTGTGTGTGTGTGTGTCTGTGTGTGTGTGTGTGTGTCTGTGTGTGTGTGTGTGTCTCTGTGTGTGTCTCTGTGTGTGTGTATGTGTGTGTATGTGTGTGTGTGTCTCTGTGTGTGTGTGAGTGTGTGTGTGTGTCTGTGTGTGTGTCTGTGTGTGTGTCTCTGTGTGTGTGTATCTGTGTGTGTATGTGTGTGTCTGTGTGTGTGTCTCTGTGTGTGTCTCTGTGTGTGTGTCTGTGTGTGTGTATGTGTGTGTGTCTGTGTGTGTGTGTGTGTATCTGTGTGTGTATGTGTGTGTCTGTGTGTGTGTCTCTGTGTGTGTCTCTGTGTGTGTGTATGTGTGTGTATGTGTGTGTGTGTCTCTGTGTGTGTGTGAGTGTGTGTGTGTGTGTCTGTGTGTGTATCTGTGTGTGTGTCTGTGTGTGTGTCTCTGTGTGTGTCTCTGTGTGTGTCTGTGTGTGTGTGTCTCTTTGTGTGTGTGTGTCTGTGTGTGTGTGTGAGTGTGTGTGTGTGTCTGTGTGTGTATCTGTGTGTGTGTCTGTGTGTATGTCTGTGTGTGTCTCTGTGTGTGTCTCTGTGTCTCTGTGTGTGTCTGTGTGTGTGTCTGTGTGTGTGTCTGTGTGTGTGTCTCTGTGTGTGTCTCTGTGTGTGTGTCTCTGTGTGTGTCTCTGTGTGTGTCTCTGTGTGTGTGTCTCTGTGTCTGTGTGTCTCTGTGTATATGTCTCTGTGTGTGTCTCTGTGTGTGTCTCTGTGTGTCTCTGTGTGTGTCTCTGGGGGCCAGGCGTCTATGACGTCTCCTGGCCAAACCCCAATTGGCGGAGCCAGGAGATTGAATACCTACTCTCGGGGCTACTCCAGAAACAACGAAAAGCCACTACGGGTGGCCACGTGGAATGTTCGAACGCTCACTGCAGAGGAGAGGCTGCCACTCCTCTGTCGGGAGCTGGACCGGTACCGCCTGGATCTATGCGGCATTCAGGAGGTCCGGTGGACCGGCTCTGGCTCCTGCCACCTTGAGGGGTGGACAGTCCTCTACTCGGGGCAGCAGACTGCCAAACAACAGGGTGTGGCTCTTCTTTTGAACAAAAGAATGAAGGGGGCGTGGGAGCGTGGTGGTGAGGTGTGGGAAGCTGTAAGTCCCAGGCTACTTTGGGCTCGCCTTCCCATCAACCGGAGGCGAGGAATGGTGGTCGTGGTTACTTATGCCCCCACCGAAGATGAACATCCGTGGAGGGATGCAGGCAAAGCCGATGATTCAGATGCCTTCTATGACCTCCTGTCACAGGTGCTGGCTAAAGTGGCCCCTCGGGGTAGAGTCATCATGTTGGGTGACTTCAATGCCCGAGTTGGTCATGATACTGGCACCTGGTCTGGAGTGATTGGAGGGCATGGGCCAGATCAGCTCAATAACAACGGTAGGAGGCTGCTAGATTTTTGTGCAGCCCATGGGCCTGTAATTACCAACACGATGTTCCGGCATCGGAGCATCCACACAACATCATGGATGCATGCCGGGTCCAAGCGAGAACATCTGCTGGACTACATAGTGATGGACCAGCGGATGCGAGCCCATGTCCTTGACACCAGGACCTACCGTGGAGCTGATCTGCCCTCTGACCATCGACTAGTCATCTGTAAGATGCGCCTGCCATTCTTCCACTCCGGTGGTGGGTGTACACCCAGGACCCCATTCCAACCTAAAGTGGCCTGGTCTCAGTTATCTCATGAAAGTTGCAAGCGAGAATTTCATCATCGCTTGCGGCTGGGATTGGCATCGTCCCCAACTCCGCCTGATGTCGAGAGTAAATGGGCGAGGTTTAGGACTGTGACTCATGCAGCTGCAATGCCTGCTTTGGATACGCGGTCCAGACCTCCCTAGAGACCCTGGCTGACAGATGAGGTGTTCAGGATGGTTGAGAAAAAGCGACAGGCCCACTGTCATCGGCTACAGAATCGCACGTCAGAGAATGAGGAGGCTTACCGCAGCCTTCGCTCGGAGGTTCGGAGAGCCGTGAGGCGCTGCAAGGATGGGTGATGGTTGCGGGTTGCTGAGGAGATGGAGTCTGCCTCAGTGGCCCGTGATCACAAATCTCTATTTAACTCCATCAATAAAGTAATCTGCAGCACCACACCTATTACCATCATTACGGGAAAAAACGGTGATCCAATCTCTGACCCCCAGGAACAGGTTTGCAGATTTGCTGAGCATTTCTGTGAGGTCCTGGGGGAGGGAAAATCCCTCAGCCAGGAAAACAACGTGGCACAAAGTGAGGATGACCCTGCTGAGGGTGCGGTGCCTCAAATATTGGAAGAAGTCACCCCCTGTGAGTGGCCGGCTGAGGTACCATCTGTTGAGGAAGTACTGAAGGCGATCCGGAGTCTGAGACCAGGAAAGGCAGCGGGCAGAGATGATCTCCCAAGCGAAATGCTGAGGGAGGGCGGCATTTGTGCACAGACTGCCCTATATGACATCATAACAACAGTCTGGACCACTGGACGGGTTCCGCAGGATTGGAAGGATGCCCTGGTGATCCCTTTTTTTAAGAAGGGGGACCGCACAGACTGTAACAACTACACGGGCATCTCACTCCTCAGTGTGCCGGGAAAGGTCCTGGAAAGGATTATTCAACATCGCCTTGCCATGCACGCTGAGGAGAGGCTTGCGGAGCCCCAATGCGTTTTCAGGAAAGGGCGGTCCTGCACAGATGCCATATTTTCTGTCCGTCTGCTACAGCAGAGGTGTAGGGAATTCCAACAAGACCTACATCTCTGCTTTATTGACCTGATCAAGGCCTATGATACCATCAGTAGGCCTGGGCTCTGGGTTGTTCTTTGTGCTTTTGGACTACCTGACCCACTGCTCAAAATCATTAAGGACCTTCATGATGGTGAGCGGGCCCGGATAAAACTACGTGGCCGGGAGTCAGAGCCATTCCCTGTTAACCTTGGGGTGCGACAGGGATGTCCTCTGGCTCCCACATTATTTAACATCTATTTTGACCACGTAGTTCGTGACGCCTTCAATAGCTGTACTGGGGGAATCTCCATATGGTACAGATATAATGGGAGGCTGATCGACGCCCGGGTGCGGTCAAGGGATGGCTCCCACGTTATGTATGCTGATGATTTGGTTATAGCTGCTCATTCAGAGGAGGAGTTGGAGACGCTGTTGCTGAGACTGGAGCGTGCCACTAAGAGGTGGGGCCTTACCATCAGCCCCAGCAAAACTAAGCACCTGCCTGGGTATTTTGTACCATCGGACACTCCACCCCCACAACTCCCAATCGGTGATGGGGCAGTTGTGGAGAGAGTGGAGAGTTTCCCATACCTGGGCAGTATGCTTATGACCGGCTCCAGTTTAACAGCAGAGGTCTCACTCCGAATCAGTCGAGCGGCAATATCTTTTCATCGGTTGCATAACGCTGTGTGGAAGCTACCTGGTCTGTCGCTCCGCACTAAACTTCAGGTCTTCTCGGCCACGGTCATTCCCTCCCTTCTCTACGCTTGCGAAACGTGGACCCCCCTAATGGAACATCTTCGCCGGTTAGAAACATTTAGGCTGGCCTGCCTACGATCCATCCTGGGTTTAACCAGACTGGATTGTGTGAGGAGCTCACAAATCCTTGAAAGATCTGGGCAAGGTCCCATCAGTGAGCTCCTCCGGCGGGCAAGGCTGCGTTGGCTGGGTCATGTAGCCCGCATGCCCAGCCACCGCATGCCGAAACAGCTTTTGTTCGGCCGGATCGAGGGGGCTTAGCGGGCGTGGCATGGGCTAGAGAAGAGATGGAGTGACGTGGTACAGGAGGACGTGGAGCTGAGTGGACTTGCCGATTACTGGTACCAGCGGTGTCAAGATCGGCCTCTGTGGAGGAGGCTCATGAAGGACGCTACTGGGCAGTTGGAGGTAGTCGCCCTCCAACAACAATGGAGGGCGGAGGAGCGACACTCACAACAACGAGCGGAGCGCCGGGTGGCTAAAGCACAGCAGGTTGGCACAGTAGGGGGCACAGGTGGTGCATCAGCCAGTCATCTCAGTCAGTCGACCCGTGGCACCTGGGTCTGCCCCGTGACCTGCCAGCGGGCGTTCGACACTTCACGTGGCCTCAGGGTGCACATAGCCTCGCACAAGCGTCGTGGTGACGTCACCGCCACTTAGTGGTGAATGGCGGTTGTTGTTGTGTCTCTGTGTGTGTCTCTGCGTGAGTCTCTGTGTGTGTCTCTGTGTGTGTCTCTGTGTGTCTCTGTGTGTGCCTCTGTCTGTGTCTCTGTGTGTGTCTCTGTGTGTGTCTCTGTGTGTGTCTCTGTGTGAGTCTCTGTGTGTGTCTCTGTGTGTGTCTCTGTGTGTCTCTGTGTGTGTCTCTGTGTGTGTCTCTGTGTGTGTCTCTGTGTGAGTCTCTGTGTGTGTCTCTGTGTGTGTCTGTCTGTGTCTCTGTGTCTCTGTGTGTGTCTCTGTGTGTGTCACTGTGTGTGTCTCTGTGTGTGTCTCTGTGTCTCTGTGTGAGTCTCCTTGTGTCTCTGTGTGTGTCTCTCTGTCTCGCTGTGTGTCTCTCTCTCTGTCAGGGAGGTTCACAATGGCCGTGTTTCTAGCACACTCACACGCTCTATCACTCCGCGTGTCTGCACAGAGATGCCATTTGTCAGATGATCGAAGACGCTCTGAATCACCCCGAACAACCAGCTCAGGAGCCAGACCCAGAGGCAAAGGTGGGCGAGTGAGTGGTGGAGTGGGTGGGTGAGTGGGTGTTAGAGTGGGAGGGTGGATAAGTGTGTGAGTGGGTGAGCGTGTGGATGAGTGGGTGAGTGTGTGGTGAGTTTGTGAGTGTGTGGTGAGTTAGTGGATGAGTGGGTGAGTGTGTGGTGAGTTAGTGAGTGTGTGGTGAATTAGTGAGTGGATGTGTGGGTGAGCGTGTGGTGAGGTAGTGAGTGTGTGGTGAGTTAGTGAGTGTCTGGTGAGTTAGTGAGTGGATGTGTGGGTGAGTGTGTGGTGAGTTAGTGAGTGGATGTGTGGGTGAGCGTGGGTGAACGTGTGGGTGAGTGTGTGATTGATTGGGAGGGTGAGTGGATGGATGTGTGGGTGGATGAGTGGGTGAGTTTGTGGATGAGTGGGTGAGTGTGTGGATGAGTGGGTGAGCGTGTGGTGAGTTAGTGAGTGGATGTGTGGGTGAGCGTGTTGGTGAGCGTGTGGGTGAGCGTGTGGGTGAGCGTGTGGATGAGTGGGTGAGCGTGTGGTGAGTTAGTGAGTGGATGTGTGGGTGAGCATGTTGGTGAGCGTGTGGGTGAGCGTGTGGGTGAGCGTGTGATTGATTGGGAGGGTGAGTGGGTGGATGTGTGGGTGGATGAGTGGGTGAGCATGTGGATGAGTGGGTGAACGTGTGGATGAGTGTGTGGTGAGTGGGTAAGTGTGTGGGTGGGTGAGCGTGTGGTGAGTTAGTGAGCGAGTGGTGAGTTAGTGAGCGTGTGGATGAGTGTGTGAGTGGGTGTGTGGATGAGTGTTTAAGTGAGTGGGTGAGTGGTTGTTGAGTGGGTGAGTGAGTGGTGAGTGAGTGTGTGAGTGGTTGGTGAGTGGGTGGTGGGTGAGTGAGTGGGTGGTGAGTGGTGAGTGAGTGAGTGGTGAGTGAGTGGTGAGTGAGTGAGTAAGTGAGTGGTGAGTAAGTGGTGAGTAGTACCTCTCTCTCGCTAGGCCCAGGCGCGTGCTCTCTGCTGGGTGAGTGAGTGGTGAGTGAGTGAATGAGTGGTGAGTGAGTGAGTGGTGAGTGAGTGGTTGGTGAGTGAGTGAGTGAGTGATGAGTGAGTGAGTGGTGAGTGAGTGGTGAGTGAGTGGTGAGTGAGTGGTGAGTGAGTTGTGAGTGGGTGAGTAAGTGGTGAGTGAGTGGTGAGTGAGTGAGTGGTGAGTGAGTGAGTGAGTGGTGAGTGAGTGGTTGGTGAGTGAGTGAGTAAGTGGTGAGTGAGTGAGTGGTAAGTGAGTGGTGAGTAGTGAGTGAGTGGGTGAGTAAGTGGTGAGTGAGTGAGTGGTTGGTGAGTTAGTGGTGAGTGAGTGGTTGGTGAGTGGGTGAGTGAGGAGTGAGTGGGCGAGTGAGTGGGCGAGTGAGTGGGTGAGTGAGGAGTGAGTGGGCGAGTGAGTGATGAGTGAGTGGGAGAGTGAGTGAGTGGTGAGTGAGTGGTGAGTGAGTGGGTGAGTGAGTGAGTGGGTGGGTGAATGAGTGGGTGAGTGAGTGGTGAGTGAGTGGTGAGTGAGTGGTGAGTGAGTGAGTGGGTTGGTGAATGAGTGGGTGAGTGAGTGGTGAGTGAGTGGTGAGTTGGTGTGTGAGTGGTGAGTGAGTGAATGATTGGTGAGTGAGTGAGTAAGTGGTGGGTGAGTGAGTGGTGAGTGAGTGGGTGAGTGAGTGGTGAGTGGTTGGTCAGTGAGTGAGTGGTGAGTAAGTGGTGAGTAAGTGGTGAGTAGTGTATCTCTCTCTCGCTAGGCCCAGGCACGTGCTGTCTGCTGGGTGAGTAAGTGGTGAGTGAGTGGTGAGTAAGTGGTGAGTAAGTGGTGAGTGGTTGGTGAGTGGTGTATCTCTCGCTAGGCCCAGGCACGTGCTCTCTGCTGGGTAAGTGAGTGAGTGGTGAGTGAGTGGTGAGTAGTGTCTCTCTCTCTAGGCCCAGGCGCGTGCTCTCTGCTGGGTGAGTGGTGAGTGGTGAGTGAGTGGTGAGTGGTGAGTAAGTGGTGAGTGAGTGGTGAGTGAGTGGTGAGTGAGTGGTGAGTAGTGTCTCTCTCTCGCTAGGCCCAGGCACGTGCTCTCTGCTGGGTGAGTGAGTGAGTGGTGAGTGAGTGGTGAGTAAGTGGTGAGTGAGTGAATGAGTGGTGAGTGAATAAGTGGTGAGTAAATGGTGAGTAAGTGGTGAGTAGTGTATCTCTCTCTCTAGACCCAGGCACGTGCTCTCTGCTGGGTGAGTGAGTGGTGAGTGAGTGAGTGTGTGAGTGGTTGGTGAGTGAGTGAGTGAGTGGTGAGTGAGTGAGTGGTGAGTGAGTGAGTGTGTGAGTGGTTGGTGAGTGAGTGAGTGGTGAGTGAGTGAGTGAGTGGTGGGTGAGTGAGTGGTGAGTGAGTGAGTGGTGAGTGAGTGAGTGGTGAGTGAGTGAGTACTGAGTGAGTGAGTGGTGAGTGAGTGAGTGGTGACTAAGTGGTGAGTGAGTGAGTGGTGATTGAGTGAGTGGTGAGTGAGTGAGTGAGTGGTGAGTGAGTAAGTGGTGAGTGGTGAGTGAGTGGTAAGTGAGTGAGTGGATGAGTAAGTGGTGAGTGAGTGAGTGGTGAGTGAGTGAGTGAGTGGTGAGTAAGTGGTGAGTGAGTGAGTGGTGAGTGAGTGAGTAAGTGGTGAGTAGTGTCTCTCTCTCGCTAGGCCCAGGCACGTGCTCTCTGCTGGGTGAGTGAGTGAGTGGTGAGTGAGTGAGGGGTGAGTAAGTGGTGAGTGAGTGAGTGAGTGGTGAGTGAGTGAGTGAGTGGTGAGTGAGTGGTGAGTGAGTGAGTGAGTGGTGAGTGAGTGGTGAGTGAGTGGTGAGTAAGTGGTAAGTGGTGAGAAGTGTCTCTCTCTCGCTAGGCCCAGGCACGTGCTCTCTGCTGAGTGAGTGAGTGGTGAGTGAGTGGTGAGTGAGTGAGTGGTGAGTAAGTGGTGAGTAAGTGGTGAGTGGTGTATCTCTCTCTCGCTTGGCCCAGGCACGTGCTCTCTGCTGAGTGAGTGAGTGGTGAGTGAGTGAGTGAGTGGTGAGTAAGTGGTGAGTGAGTGGTGAGTGAGTGGTGAGTGAGTGAGTGGTGAGTAAGTGGTGAGTGGTGTATCTCTCTCGCTAGGCCCAGGCACGTGCTCTCTGCTGGGTGAGTGAGTGAGTAAGTGGTGAGTGGTGAGTAAGTGGTGAGTGAGTGAGTGGTGAGTGGTGAGTGAGTGAGTGGTGAGTAAGTGGTGAGTGGTGTATCTCTCTCGCTAGGCCCAGGCACGTGCTCTCTGCTGGGTGAGTGAGTGAGTAAGTGGTGAGTGGTGAGTAAGTGGTGAGTGAGTGAGTGGTGAGTAAGTGGTGTATCTCTCTAGGCCCAGGCACGTGCTCTCTGCTGGGTGAGTGAGTGAGTGGTGAGTGAGTGTGTGAGTGGTTGGTGAGTGAGTGAGTAAGTGGTGAGTGAGTGGTGAGTGAGTGAGTGGTGAGTAAGTGGTGAGTAAGTGGTGAGTGGTGTATCTCTCTAGGCCCAGGCACGTGTTCTCTGCTGGGTGAGTGAGTGAGTTGTGAGTAAGTGGTGAGTGAGTGGTGAGTGAGTGAGTAAGTGGTGAGTAGTGTATCTTTCTCGCTAGGCCCAGGCACGTGCTCTCTGCTGGGTGAGTGAGTGAGTGGTGAGTGAGTGTGTGAGTGGTTGGTGTGTGAGTGAGTAAGTGGTGAGTGAGTGGTGAGTGAGTGAGTGGTGAGTAAGTGGTGAGTGGTGAGTGAGTGAGTGAGTAAGTGGTGAGTGGTGTATCTCTCTAGGCCCAGGCACGTGCTCTCTGCTGGGTGTGTGAGTGTGTGAGTGGTTGGTAAGTGTTGAGTAAGTGGTGAGTGGTGTATCTCTCTCGCTAGGCCCAGGCACGTGCTGTCTGCTGGGTGAGTGAGTGAGTGGTGAATAAGTGGTGAGTGAGTGGTGAGTGAGTGAGTGGTGAGTAAGTGGTGAGTGAGTGAGTGAGTGGTGAGTAAGTGGTGAGTAGTGTATCTCTCTAGGCCCAGGCACGTGCTCTCTGCTGGGTGAGTGAGTGGTGAGTGAGTGAGTGGTGAGTAAGTGGTGAGTGGTGTATCTCTCTAGGCCCAGGCACGTGCTCTCTGCTGGGTGAGTGAGTGGTGAGTGAATGGTGAGTGAGTGTGTGAGTTATTGGTGAGTAAGTGGTGAGTGAGTGGTGAGTAGTGTATCTCTCTCTCTAGGCCCAGGCACGTGCTCTCTGCTGGCTGAGTGAGTGAGTGGTGAGTGAGTGGTTGGTGAGTGAGTGGTGAGTGAGTGGTGAGTAAGTGGTGAGTGTCTCTCTCTCTAGGCCCAGGAACGTGCTGTCTGCTGGCTGAGTGAGTGGTGAGTAAGTGGTTGGTGAGTGAGTGAGTAAGTGGTGAGTAAGTGGTGAGTGTCTCTCTCTCTAGGCCCAGGCACGTGCTGTCTGCTGGCTGAGTGAGTGAGTGAGTGGTGTGTGAGTGGTTGGTGAGTGAGTGAGTAAGTGGTGAGTGAGTGAGTGGTGAGTGTCTCTCTCTCTAGGCCCAGGCACGTGCTCTCTGCTGGCTGAGTGAGTGAGTGGTGAGTGAGTGGTGAGTGGTGAGTGAGTGGTGAGTGAGTGGTGAGTGGTGAGTGAGTGGTGAGTGTCTCTCTCTCTAGGCCCAGGCACGTGCTGTCTGCTGGCTGAGTGAGTGAGTGGTGAGTGAGTGGTGAGTGTCTCTCTCTCTAGGCCCAGGCACGTGCTGTCTGCTGGCTGAGTGAGTGAGTGAGTGGTGTGTGAGTGGTTGGTGAGTGAGTGAGTGGTGAGTAAGTGGTGAGTGAGTGATTGAGTGGTGTATCTCTCTCTCTCTCTAGGCCCAGGCACGTGCTGTCTGCTGGCTGAGTGTGTGAGTGAGTAAGTGGTGAGTGAGTGTGTGAGTGGTGAGTGAGTGGTGAGTAGTGTGTCTCTCTCTCTAGGCCCAGGCACGTGCTGTCTGCTGGCTGAGTGTGTGAGTGAGTGGTGAGTAAGTGGTGAGTGTCTCTCTCTCTAGGCCCAGGCACGTGCTCTCTGCTGGCTGAGTAAGTGGTGAGTGTCTCTCTCTCTAGGCCCAGGCACGTGCTCTCTGCTGGCTGAGTGTGTGAGTGAGTGAGTGGTGTGTGAGTGGTGAGTAAGTGGTGAGTGGTGAGTAAGTGGTGAGTAAGTGGTGAGTAGTGTCTCTCTCTGTAGGCCCAGGCACGTGCTCTCTGCTGGCTGAGTGAGTGGTGAGTGTCTCTCTCTCTAGGCCCAGGCACGTGCTCTCTGCTGGCTGGGTGAGTAAGTGGTGAGTGAGTGGTGAGTAAGTGGTGAGTAAGTGGTGAGTGGTTGGTGAGTGGTGTATCTCTCTCTAGGCCCAGGCACGTGCTGTCTGCTGGCTGAGTGAGTGAGTAAGTGGTGAGTGAGTGGTGAGTGGTGAGTGAGTGGTGAGTAAGTGGTGAGTGAGTGGTGAGTGGTGAGTGAGTGGTGAGTAAGTGGTGAGTGAGTGGTGAGTGGTGAGTAAGTGGTGAGTGGTGAGTGAGTGGTGAGTGTCTCTCTCTCTAGGCCCAGGCACGTGCTGTCTGCTGGCTGAGTGTGTGAGTGAGTGGTGAGTGAGTGGTGAGTGGTGAGTGAGTGGTGAGTAAGTGCTGAGTGAGTGGTGAGTGGTGAGTAAGTGCTAAGTGGTGAGTAAGTGGTGAGTGGTGAGTAAGTGGTGAGTGGTGTATCTCTCTAGGCCCAGGCACGTGCTCTCTGCTGGCTGAGTGAGTGAGTAAGTGGTGAGTGGTGAGTGAGTGGTGAGTGTCTCTCTCTCTAGGCCCAGGCACGTGCTCTCTGCTGGCTGAGTGTGTGAGTGAGTGGTGAGTGAGTGGTGAGTGAGTGGTGAGTGAGTGGTGAGTAGTGTATCTCTCTCTCTAGGCCCAGGCACGTGCTCTCTGCTGGCTGAGTGAGTGAGTGAGTGGTGAGTGGTGAGTAAGTGGTGAGTGAGTGGTGAGTGGTGTGTGAGTGGTGAGTGGTGTATCTCTCTATCTCTCTAGGCCCAGGCACGTGCTGTCTGCTGGCTGAGTGTCTCTCACCGCGTGGACTCGGTGCTCCGTCGCTCCGTCTCCCGTGCCATGAGGCAGCTCCCAGGTTCGACTCCAAGCCCAGGCTTCTACAGGCCTCACTGGAGACAAGCACCTGTCTCTCTGTCTCTCTGTCTCTCTGTCTCTCTGTCACTCTGTCTCTCTGTCTCTCTGTCTCTGTCTCTCTGTCACTCTGTCTCTCTGTCTCTCTGTCTCTCTGTCTCTGTCTCTCTGTCTCTCTGTCTCTCTGTCTCTCTGTCTATCTCCTCTGTCTCTCTGTCTCTCTCTGTCTCTCTGTCTCTCTGTCTCTCTGTCTCTCTGTCTCTCTGTCTCTCTGTCTCTCTCTCTGTCTCTCTGTCTCTCTGTCTCTCTGTCTATCTCCTCTGTCTCTCTGTCTCTCTGTCTCTCTCCTCTCTGTCTCTCTGTCTCTCTGTCTCTCTGTCTCTCTGTCTCTCTGTCTCTCTGTCTCTCTCCTCTCTGTCTCTCTCCTCTGTCTCTTTCCCCTCTGTCTCTCTCTCCTCTGTCTCTCTCCTCTCTGTCTCTCTCCCCTCCCTGTCTCTCTCCTCTCTGTCTCTCTGTCTCTGTCTCTCTGTGTCTCTGTCTCTCTGTCTCTCTCCCCTCTGTCTCTCTCCCCTCTGTCTCTCTGTCTCTCTCCCCTCTGTCTCTCTGTCTCTGTCTCTCTGTCTCTCTCCCCTCTGTCTCTCTCCTCTCTGTCTCTCTCCCCTCCCTGTCTCTCTCCTCTCTGTCTCTCTCCCCTCTGTCTCTCTCCTCTCTGTCTCTCTCCTCTCTGTCTCTCTCCTCTCTGTCTCTCTCCTCTCTGTTTCCATCTCTCTCCTCTCTCCCTTCACTCTCGCTCCTCTCTGTCTGTGCCACGTGCCACGTGGAGTGCCACGTGCCACGTGGAGTGCCACGTGCCACGTGGAGTGCCACGTGCCACGTGGAGTGCCACGTGCCACGTGGAGTGCCACGTGCCACGTGGAGTGCCACGTGGAGTGCCACGTGGAGTGGCACGTGCCACGTGCCACGTGACGTGCCACGTGCCGTGTTTAAGCGACGTGCACCACGTCTCGCCGTACCCGGTGTGACTTTGTAATCGACATCGGCTCCAGTGCTTTTTGCTCCTTGGCAGCAATCAAATTGGTGAAAAACTCTCCCCCTCTCCCTCCGCTCCCTCTCACCATCTCTCTCACCATCTCTCTCCCTCTCACCATCTCTCTCTCCCTCACCATCTCTCTCACCATCTCTCTCACCATCTCTCTCACCATCTCTCTCTCACCATCTCTCTCCCTCACCATCTCTCTCCCTCTCACCATCTCTCTCACCATCTCTCTCACCATCTCTCTCTCACCATCTCTCTCACCATCTCTCTCCCTCTCACCATCTCTCTCACCATCTCTCTCTCACCATCTCTCTCACCATCTCTCTCACCATCTCTCTCCATCTCTCTCTCACCATCTCTCTCACCATCTCTCACCATCTCTCACCATCTCTCTCCCTCTCACCATCTCTCTCACCATCTCTCTCCCTCTCACCATCTCTCTCACCATCTCTCTCTCCCTCACCATCTCTCTCCCTCTCACCATCTTTCTCACCATCTCTCTCACCATCTCTCTCTCTCTCACCATCTCTCTCTCCCTCACCATCTCTCTCCCTCTCACCATCTCTCTCACCATCTCTATCACCATCTCTCTCACCATCTCTCTCTCCCTCACCATCTCTCTCACCATCTCTCTCACCATCTCTCTCTCACCATCTCTCTCCCTCTCACCATCTCTCTCACCATCTCTCTCTCCCTCACCATCTCTCTCCCTCTCACCATCTCTCTCACCATCTCTCACCATCTCTCACCATCTCTCTCACCATCTCTCTCCCTCTCACAATCTCTCTCTTACCATCTCTCTCACCATCTCTCTCTCTCACCATCTCTCTCTCACCATCTCTCTCTCTCACCATCTCTCACCATCTCTCTCACCATCTCTCTCTCACCATCTCTCTCACCATCTCTCTCTCACCATCTCTCTCTCACCATCTCTCTCTCACCATCTCTCACCATCTCTCCCTCTCACATCTCTCTCTCACCATCTCTCTCACTATCTCTCACCATCTCTCTCACCATCTCTCTCTCTCACCATCTCTTTCTCACCATCTCTCTCTCTCTCACCATCTCTCTCACCATCTCTCTCTCTCCTCTCTCACCATCTCTCTCTCACCATCTCTCTCTCACCATCTCTCACCATCTCTCCCTCTCACCATCTCTCTCTCACCATCTCTCTCACTATCTCTCACCATCTCTCTCACCATCTCTCTCTCTCTCACCATCTCTCTCTCTCTCACCATCTCTCTCACCATCTCTCTCTCACCATCTCTTTCTCACCATCTCTCTCTCACCATCTCTCTCTCACCATCTCTCTCTCTCACCATCTCTCTCTCACCATCTCTTTCTCACCATCTCTCTCTCTCACCATCTCTCTCTCACCATCTCTCTCACCATCTCTCACCATCTCTCTCTCACCATCTCTCTCTCACCATCTCTCTCACTATCTCTCACCATCTCTCTCACCATCTCTCTCTCTCACCATCTCTCTCTCTCTCACCATCTCTTTCTCACCATCTCTCTCTCTCACCATCTCTCTCACCATCTCTCTCTCTCCTCTCTCACCATCTCTCTCACCATCTCTCTCACCATCTCCCTCTCACCATCTCTCTCTCTCTCCTCTCTCCCCATGTGCAGCGTCTCTGTCTCGGGCTCAGCGCCGCTCTCTCGCTGAGCGGCTCAACTCACTCAGAACCACGATCCTCAGAAGAGGAAGAGGAGGAGGAAGAGTTGGTGGTAGTGATGGTGGTGATGGTGGTGATGGTGATGGTGGTGATGGTGGTGAGACCTGGGAGTCGGCCGAGGCAGCGGCAGAGGCTGCTGAGCGAGAGTTTGACTCCAGGCTCAGGAGCCTCCTGAAGCAACTCTGATGAGTTCCCCTTTCAGGAGTTCAAGACGATTCTGTGTGGCCCGGAGATAACTCGCGAGGCCAGGAGTACGTGAGTGAGTGGGTGAGTGAGTGAGTGGGTGATTGAGTGAGTGGGTGAGTGAGTGGGTGGGTAGGTGAGTAAGTGGGTGGGTGAGTGAGTGGGTGAGTAAGTGGGTGAGTGAGTGAGTGAGTGGGTGGGTGGGTGAGTAAGTGGGTGAGTGGGTGAGTAAGTGAGTGGGTGAGTAAGTGGGTGGTGAGTGAGTGAGTGAGTGGGTGAGTGAGTAGGTGGGTGGATGAGTGAGTGAGTGAGTGGGTGGGTGAGTGGGTGAGTAAGTGGGTGGTTGAGTGAGTGAGTGGGTGGTGAGTGAGTGGGTGAGTGAGTGGGTGAGTGGGTGAGTAAGTGGGTGGTTGAGTGAGTGAGTGGGTGGTGAGTGAATGAGTGGGTGAGTGAGTTGGTGAGTGGATGAGTGGGTAAGTGGGTGGTGAGTGAGTGAGTGGGTGAGTGAGTGAGTAAGTGGGTGAGTGGGTGAGTAAGTGAGTGAGTGAGTAGGTGGGTGGATGAGTGAGGGAGTGAGTGGGTGGGTGAGTGGGTGAGTAAGTGGGTGGTTGAGTGAGTGAGTGGGTGGTGAGTGAGTGGGTGAGTGAGTGGGTGAGTGGGTGAGTAAGTGGGTGGTTGAGTGAGTGAGTGGGTGGTGAGTGAATGAGTGGGTGAGTGAGTTGGTGAGTGGATGAGTGGGTAAGTGGGTGGTGAGTGAGTGAGTGGGTGAGTTAGTGGGTGGGTGGATGAGTGAGTGAGTGAATGAGTGGGTGAGTAAGTGGGCGGGTGGATGAGTGAGTGAATGAGTGGGTAAGTGGGTGGGTGGATGAGTGGGTAAGTGGGTGGTGAGCGAGTGGGTGAGTTAGTGAGTGGGTGGATGAGTGAGTGAGTGGGTGATGAGTGAATGAGTGGGTGAGTAAGTGGGTGGGTGGATGAGTGAGTGAGTGGGTGGTAAGTGAATGAGTGGGTGAGTTAGTGGGTGGGTGGATGAGTGAGTGAGTGGGTGAGTGGATAGGTGAGTGGATGGGTGGGTGAATGGGTGGGTGAATGGCTGGCTGAATGGTTGGCTGAATGGGTGGCTGAGTGGGTGCTGAGTGGTTGAGTGGGTGGCTAGGTGAGTGAATGAGTGGGTGAGTGAGTGGGTGGCTAGGTGAGTGAATGAGTGAGTGGGTGAGTGGGTGAGTGGCTGGCTGGCTGGGTGAGTGAATGAGTGAGTGGGTGGGTGGGTGGCTGGCTCAGTGAATGAGTGAGTGGGTGGGTGGCTGGGTGAGTGAGTGAATGAGTGGGTGGGTGGGTGGCTGGCTCAGTGAATGAGTGAGTGGGTGGGTGGCTGGGTGAGTGAGTGAATGAGTGGGTGGGTGGGTGGGTGGCTGGCTCAGTGAATGAGTGAGTGGGTGGGTGGCTGGGTGAGTGAGTGAATGAGTGGGTGGGTGGGTGGCTGGGTGAGTGAGTGAATGAGTGGGTGGGTGGGTGGCTGGGTGAGTGAGTGAATGAGGGGGTGGGTGGGTGGGTGGCTGGCTCAGTGAATGAGTGAGTGGGTGGGTGGCTGGGTGAGTGAGTGAATGAGTGGGTGGGTGGGTGGGTGGCTGGATCAGTGAATGAGTGAGTGGGTGGGTGGCTGGGTGAGTGAGTGAATGAGTGGGTGGGTGGGTGGCTGGGTGAGTGAGTGAATGAGTGGGTGGGTGGGTGGCTGGGTGAGTGAGTGAATGAGGGGGTGGGTGGGTGGGCGACGTCAAGCAATACAATGATGCCATGCTGTGATGCAATGACGTAATACGCACGTCATGTGACTTCCTTAACACGGTGCTTACCCATGGATACTCAACATTCCCACGCCTCGTTTGTCAACTTTGCAAAGAGATAATAAACCGCTGTCTACTTGAACTCCGCGGTTGGCAAGTCTGCGGTTAGCGAGGGATTTCTGTACGTGCGTTGGACTTCTTTGGCACCGTACCAAGCCAACGGTGCTAAGCTGTGGGTCTCTGTGGGTCTCTGGGTGTCTCTGTGGGTCTCTGTGGGTCTCTGTGTGTCTCTGTGGGTCTCTGTGGGTCTCTGTGGGTCTCTGGGTGTCTCTGTGTATCTCTGGGTGTCTCTGTGTGTCTCTGTGGGTGTCTGTGTGTCTCTGTGGGTGTCTGTGGGTCTCTATGTGTCTCTGTGGGTCTCTGTGGGTCTCTGTGGGTCTCTGTGGATCTCTGTGCATCTCTGTGGGTCTCTGTGGGTCTCTGTGTGTCTCTATGGGTGTATCTGTGGTTGTGTTTGTCTGTGGGTCTCTGTGGGTCTCTGTGGGTCTCGGTGTATCTCTGTGTATCTCTGTGGGTCTCTGTGAGTCTCTGTGGGTCTCTGTGGATCTCTGTGGGTCTCTGTGGGTCTCTGTGGGTCTCTGGGTGTCTCTGTGTATCTCTGGGTGTCTCTATGGGTGTATCTGTGGTTGTGTTTGTCTGTGGGTCTCGGTGTGCATGGTACGGGGAGCGGTGTTGTAGTGGTTAGCTCACCGCGCATATGAACCCGGCGACCCCAGTTCGATTCCCGCTCACGGCCAACACCGTCAATGACGATTGTTTGAACCGGTCCTGGGCCTCGCCAAGGTCGACTCAGCCTCAAAACGTGCACCTGGTGTAGCGGTGTAGCGTAGTAAACATCGCCACTGGGGAGACAAAGGCGTGGTGCTGGCCACCCACCCCCTTGTGTGCCATTCTGGCCTTGATAGGTGCTGCTCACTGACAGCACTTACCCCAACAGTATGTTCATGCTACACGGGGGATCTTTGTATTTGTGTGTGTGTGTGTTGAACGTCTTTTGTACCACCGTATGTAGCCAACCGTGCCAAGCTGTGGGTCTCTATGGGTCTAGGGGTTTCTCTGTGGGTCTCTATGGGTTTCTCTGTGGGTGTCTATGGGTGTCTCTGTGGGTCTCTATGGGTTTCTCTGTGGGTGTCTATGGGTGTCTCTGTGGGTGTCTATGGGTGTCTCTGTGGGTCTCTATGGGTTTCTCTGTGGGTGTCTATGGGTGTCTCTGTGCGTGTCTATGGGTTTCTCTGTGGGTGTCTATGGGTGTCTCTGTGGGTCTCTATTGGTCTGGGTGTCTGTGGGTCTCTACGGGTTTCTCTGTGGGTGTCTATGGGTGTCTCTGTGGGTCTCTATGGGTCTGGGTGTCTGTGGGTCTCTATGGGTTTCTCTGTGGGTGTCTGTGGGTCTCTATGGGTTTCTCTGTGGGTGTCTATGGGTGTCTCTGTGGGTCTCTATGGGTCTGGGTGTCTGTGGGTCTCTATGGGTTTCTCTGTGGGTGTCTATGGGTGTCTCTGTGGGTCTCTATGGGTCTGGGTGTCTATGGGTGTCTCTGTGGGTCTCTATGGGTTTCTCTGTGGGTGTCTATGGGTGTCTCTGTGGGTCTCTATGGGTCTGGGTGTCTGTGGGTCTCTATGGGTTTCTCTGTGGGTGTCTATGGGTGTCTCTGTGGGTCTCTATGGGTCTGGGTGTCTATGGGTCTCTATGGGTTTCTCCGTGGGTGTCTATGGGTGTCTCTGTGGGTCTCTATGGGTCTGGGTGTCTGTGGGTCTCTACGGGTTTCTCTGTGGGTGTCTATGGGTGTCTCTGTGGGTCTCTATGGGTCTGGGTGTCTGTGGGTCTCTATGGGTTTCTCTGTGGGTGTCTATGGGTGTCTCTATGGGTTTCTCTGTGGGTGTCTATGGGTGTCTCTGTGGGTCTCTATGGGTCTGGGTGTCTATGGGTGTCTCTGTGGGTCTCTATGGGTCTGGGTGTCTGTGGGTCTCTGTGGAGGAGGCTCGTGAAGGACGCTGCTACTGGGCAGTTGGAGGCAGTCGCCCTCCCAACAACAACGGAGGGCGGAGGAGCGACGCTCACAACAACGAGCGGAGCGCCGGGTGGCTAAAGCACAGCGGGTTGGCACAGTAGGGGGGCACAGGTGGTGCATCAGCCAGTCATCTCAGTCATCTCAGTCATCTCGATTTGGTGCGTTCGTAACTGCAGGAATTAATCTTTGTTTTTTTTCGGTAAAGTCACGTAGAAATAAGAAGAAATAAAAATAACATGCTACACGACGTTTCGATTGCAACACAAGCAATCATCATCAGGTAGAGGAAACACATAACCGCAGATATATATACACAGACCTTAAGTAGAGGGAATTAACAGAGATATACCAGGGGACACAGACGCAGCATCGCACTAAATCAAACGGGGTTTAGCAAAATTTGGAAACTAAAGCAACACAGGCGGTCGGTTAAAACACAATTAACGCGTGGTCTGGTTGAACACGCTGTTTCAAAGATTGTTAAATTGTAAGTTGAGTGTGAAATTTAAGATCGTGATGGAATACTTACCGTAGAGAGACCTGTGGGGGGTGGGGGTGGTGGGGGGAGACACGCAACGCAGTTAAGAGGTGAAGCAGCTCTGTACCGAGGCCTTAAATAGCCAGAGATATGGGACGGTGACTGGGTCTCGGAGTCGACGGGACACAGATTGGCGTGACACAAGTTGTCAGGCACACAGAGAGAGAGAGGCTGCAACAGCAGCAGCGCACACTTCGAGACACCCAGGGACACTGCTTTAGACAGAGACAGAGACAGCGACGTTAATACAATTCAAGACGCAAAGGCAGACGCACCAGCGGGAAAAGAAAAAAAAAGATTAATTCCTGCAGTCACGAAAACACCAAATCGAGTTTGAACCACCTCTTTGGGGAGGCGTGAAAATCCGTGTCTTTGTGTTGTCTCTGCTGGTAGCGGAGCTGAACAGAGACGTAGCAGTTAGCAGTGGAGAGAGCCTAGCGACGGTGATAGCGGAGAGCGGAGACGAAGCGGTTAGCGGCGGAGTGAGCGAAGTGATCGTCGGGAGCAAGCGAAGTGATCTTGGGGGAGCAAGCGAAGTGATCTTGGGGATCAAGCGAAGTGATCTTGGGGGAGCAAGCGAAGTGATCTTGGGGGAGCAAGCGAAGTGATCTTGGGGATCAAGCGAAGTGATCTTGGGGGAGCAAGCGAAGTGATCTTGGGGATCAAGCGAAGTGATCTTGGGGGAGCAAGCGAAGTGATTGTAGGGGAGTAAGCGAAGTGATCTTGGGGAGTAAGCGAAGTTATTGTAGGGGAG